TGGCGGCAGAATTTACCTAAACTGACTGAGTTTAAGCAAAGAAATAAACCAATGGAGATGATTTGTGATACAAAATGAAAACAATTTACTTATTACCAAAACATAACATAGTGTGTGAACTTACTTTCTGGATACTGGACAGTCAAAATTCACTGGTTCTGTGAACTGATCAACTGGTTTCGTCCCCCAAGATGTTTTCCCATTAAACAACTCACTTAAGATCCTATGTGCATTATTGTTTGAATCTAAATCATTAGACTTATCCATAATGACTAGTGCTGTCCATGTTTATGGCTATTCTCATTCAACAAAGGAGAGCTGTAACCTTGAGATATCTGGCCTACAATTGAAGGACACTGCTATCTTCTACACTCTTGTAGAACATGCAGTGTTACAGCAATAAATCCCAAGGGCAGACCAGGTATTATCTCCATAGGTAACAAAGGGACAAAGTCAACTTTACAATATTTCAGACTGAATAAACAAAATATTTTGAAAGATTCTACATTTAACTAAGAAGGTAGAAAATTCATGGTATGCCTAACTACCACATTAATCCAAAAAAAGGTTTGAATCTCTCCATGACCAAATAACATGTTCTAAGTTTTCTTTTTCCATATAAAAATAACAAGTATTATATTGTTGAATTCTTATCTTGTTTAGAAAGCATCTCGAGTTAAAATTTTATATACAATTTTTACTTGAAACCATCAAAGTTTTAAATATTTGTAATTATAAATGATGATTCATATAACTGTTAAATATTTTTAAGATCTTTATTTTAAAAAAAAACGTTCTTCTATTTTTTTCGTAGGTTTAAGTTCTAGATATTCAACTGCCTATTTGGAAAGATATTTATCTGTTTGTATTCTTTATTTTCTTTCAAAATAACTTCTTTTTGTATTAAAAGATGACCTAATTTAATTTGTAATTCCCAACATTCAGTGATATAAACTTAAAAATGTCTGTAAATTCAAAGTAACTGTAAAAAATCCCTTGTTTGAAATAATATCATTTATAAAATATATTCAATTTTTCATTTGAGAAGAGTGAGCTAAAGTTTTCTTATTAATTTTATTTTTGGATTGTATCATAATGATTCATGATATATCCATTTCTTTATTATTTATACTATCCATAAAATTTATCAAGCTAACAAACATCTTTCCAAAAGGTATTTTGAACATTAATTCCTATAACTTTCTTATTACCATAATGTATCGTATCTTTTATGTCACATTTGTATTTTTAGAAAATAAAAAAAATTATGTATTTTCTACAGTCTATTAATCCATATAATTTTTATTGATTTAAATGAAAGATTTGATTGTTATCCATTTCAAACTCCAATAAGGCATTACTCAACTTTAACGTTTGTTGGTTTTGATAAAAGTTTTTCATCAACCGATCATTTGTTCAAAGATTTCTTAAAATTCACTTATCAAAAAACCTTTGAGAAATTTTACAAAGTAACTGAAATACTGCAGAGCTCTACATATAACCTACTAGCATTGACAGGTCACTAGCCCAGAGCTAGTCACACAGAACTTGTTTGCTTATGAAACAAAATGTACGCATGACAAGAACATTTTTATTGTGATAGGTTTACTTTCAAAAATTAACTTGTGAATCTTGGGAAATCCAAGATTGTTCCGTCAAAATTATTAAAAAGCAAAGTTCTTATTGCTAAATAAATCAAACAATCATCCTTTATTGTTTCGAGTCTTTGGTACACATCATGTTGTAAACCACCATGCCCATAAAAAAAATTTTCAAATATAATTGTAGCCGACAAAAGTGCAATGTTCAATAATCATAATGACAAATAAAAAAGTTTTTACTGTTTCAGTAGTTGAAAAGTAAAATTAGAGATTAAAATTGAAATAAAACTATTTTTGTTAACAGAGTTAAGGCCTTCAGTTGATCGTGCATGTTAAAATGCAAAGTACAATATTTGCATAAAATGTTAAAAATCTAAGTACTGTAAATGATTACTAAACCATAATTAATTTATTTAATGAATGAGGAAAAGATTAAACATTCTAAGTATCACTTATACATATCCATAGATGCTTAATATATGTTGATGGATATGATCAAAATCATCACTAGGTGCTTAAAAGATTTGGGGCTCGGGCCCATAGGTGTGAGAATTTTCAGTATGATATTGATCATGGTTTTCTATTCTGATTTTTTAAGACACCAACTGTCAAATAGAATCGGGCCTTGTGTGCCAGTTCCTAGCAACACCTCTGGGTACGATACTATGGAATAAACTGTGTAGTGTACTGATGTCCCTATGCAGAGAAAGGAAAAACATTTCTGATTGGTTGTTAAATTACTTCCGCTTTCAGAAATAAGTAGTTTGAGCATGTTGAATTTGGGAAGTTGATATCACTGTTTCATAGCAAAAAATGTAACAAATCAAATGCATGAATATATCAAAAAGTGAATAATAAAAAAAGATGCTCAATATTAAGCCTTGAGTCTCATTGCATTTCTTACTTGCCCTGGAGTATTAGTGGACCATTAATGTCAAGACCTTTACTACGACAGTCCTGAAAGATATTTGTATCTCTACAGTATATAACCTGTTTGCCATTTTTAAATGGTTAGGCCAAGCTAAACACATTACTAGTTACTATTTAGATCATACAGGCAGCTAGTAGGTTTGTTTCTGAATTTTCTTTCAAAGCTACATAAAAATGCTATTTTCACAACACTGTCCAAGATACTAGAGGAGAGGCAGCTAGTCAACAGCACCTACTACAAACTTATGGACTTTTCTTGTCAGACCAAAAAGTTGGGTTTGACTGTCACTCTTATAGCACACCTAGGTCCTTGCTTCCCCATTTTTAAGAAAAGTAAAAAATTCAAACTCATCATTTATTTTTCAAGAAACCATCAGTTCACCCCTTAAGCTCTTGTAAAGTGCCAGTCTCCACTACTGCTAATGACAGTTCATTCCATAAGCCATTCACCGAGGACTAGCCTGTATTTTTCACATCATAAACCAGTGTCCTTATCCTAATGTGCTACTTCTTGTAACTGAACAAGTAAAATGAATTGACTTTGAAACTCTTTCGTCAAAATTATCTGCTCCTTGTTTATCTATCTATATTATTTAATTCAAAATATTAGAGTAATTCCACTTCTACCCTTAAGTTCTGGAATGTGCAGTTTTCATAAGTTTACACTAATTGGTCAGTTCACTAATAAGATTACTTAAGTTGTGTTCAATTACTATTTTGTGTAACTTTCCCTGAGCCTGGGCTTTTGCAGCTTTAGGCTACCTGTTGGAAACAAGAAAATCGCATCCAAAATTGGTTTGTTATGTAATACCTCCCTACATGGAGAGCTGTAAGTGCAAGGGTGTACAACACAATGCATGCAGAAAACGAACAGGAAAATATTTATATTCTCAAAAAATCCTGAGAAGTGATTCGTTATATTCATATTTACCAGCTGAGATAGCCACACATTATCCAATTCTAGTTTACTGCTGACCTAATATAACTGTTTGGCCACACCCAGCCCATCAGCAGTAGAAACAAGACAATAAGCACAAAATATAATATCAACAAAACTTTTATACACAGTTTTAACAACTTACAAGATTGATGTTCATTTGTTTGAAACTTCTGATGCTGAGATACTGTGAAATTTCAATGTATTTACTAAAAATGTCATCTAAAAAAGAAAACGATAAATGATTAAAAAAAAATTCTAAAACAGATAATACTAAGTTACACCAAGTATGTAAACAACTGAATACTCTTCACTACCTGGAGTAATATACTTATAAAATGAAACTGGATTCCAGTAATTCTCCCATCAAAATCATATTTATCTATCTGTATATTACTTAATTCAAAATATTAAAACACAAAGTAATTCTGCTTTTAAAGATCCAGAATATGCACAATTTTCAAAGGTTTACGCTAGTTGGTTAGTTCACTGATAAAAAGAACCATTCCCAACTTCGAATACTTCCAACAAATCAGTTGTTAAGAATGTCAAATCTATAATCGTGATAAACTCCAACATATTTTACATTAAAATATTTTATTATGACAATCAACAGAATTATGTGAGATGTCTGGTTATTACTCAGATAACTTTACAAGTTTTTGAACAAAAGTCAAACGGTGAATTTAATACAGATATTGACAGTTTAAAGATTCTAGAAAAGAAGGCCATTTTTTGTTCCAAGACTATACTTAATTTCAGTAAAGGATATTAACAAAAGAAAGATTAGAAGTAGATTCTAGCCTTTTGATTTTCTACTGTACATCACCAAACTTTATTAGACACTATCAGTTCAAAATCTGTAGTGAAGATTCCATAGCAAAAAACACCCAAGAAATGTGTAATAGGCTTTAAACTTTGGCTCAGCTGTTGAAAATAACATTAAAAATTGGTTTGCTATGTAATACCTTCCTATGCAGAGAACGTAAATGCAAGACAACTCGGGTAGGATATATTCTTATTCTGTTTGAAACTCAAACTTGAAAGATTCAGAGTTTAAAAGTGAGAAATATATATTTTAAAAGACAAGTGCTACTTAATAAAGTTGATTATGGAGGCAAGTGTTCATAGAGATTGGCCAGTTTGTAAATGGTGAGAACACTTTGTTAAGACTACTATAATGAGCATTTGAGGACTACTTAACATTGAGCTTGGGGCACTATTGCAAAAATTGTAGCTAGCAAGAAAATGGTAATCAACAAAGAGTCAATACTGGTATGCAGTGTTAAATTTCACAATGTCTGGAGAAAAGAACTTGAAAAGTTGTTAGTTATATCAAGATTTACTTATACATATATCACCACATCGTCAAACTCTCTGAACTAACATAAATATGTAGGACACGGTTAGTTTAAACTTGTCATTATTTTGTTTCTTTGTTGGATGTCAAGCACAAAGCTACACAATGGGTTATCTTGCTGTGCCAACAATAAGTATCAAAACCCAGTTTTCAGCATATTAAGCCTTCAGATTTACTGCTGAGCCACTGGGGGGAGAATAAAACATATTCTTATATATATACTTTATCAAATTTGTTTAATGTAAAAAGTTGTACTACACATATGTTTTTAATGCAGAATGATTGTAAACTAATAATATATTAACATCACACTTAAAACAACTTAGTTTCAGCCTTCCATAGCTAATTTAGGATATATCTTTAGTAAGGGATATTCAGTAATTTTTTCATGCAGGTGTTCTGCATGTAGTATGACGTCTTTGTAAATTGGAAGGTCGTAAATGTATACTGAACCTTTTACTTTGGTAAAAGTTACACCTTACACATGATTGTATCAGTTTGTAACTATGTGTCCCCACTCCCAAGGATGTGCATGCTCATCTTAAGGGATGTTACTGATATTTGTATAAGTTTGTGGTCCTCTCCCTTGAATATACTATTTGGAATATTTGTTGAGGTAAGTAGTCTATTGATTATAGGATACTGCACTAGGACCTCTATGTGAACTGAGAATGCAGTATAACCTTATTTTTCTCATACCCCCAGTGAGAAGTTAACAGAAAATAAAAAGGCAGCAAATTTTTTTTTTTTTTTTTTTATAGAAAGATCGTTTACAATACTGTGAATAAAGATCTGGTTTACTTATTTTCTGTGTTTGTTTTTCCTTTGCTGTCTGTGTTCAATTTATTCTTCATGCAACATTCCATGTTTTTGCAGAAAACTTAGGGTACTTGTTATACCCGAATACCACATTAACATAAATCTAAATGTTGCATATACACATTGTGTACTAAATATCATAGAGAATGTATTTATGTTGTGATAAAAAAAAATCTGTTTACCAGGTGTCCAAAGTGAGCAAAGAACAGTTAAGTAAGAGTTTGGAGAAGGAGAATATCTTAAGAACTTTGCAATTACTATAGACCGTGTGCAGATCATTTTGAGGACTTCTAGAACATAATACAGTTCCAACAATGCCCCAAGTGCCAAACCTGCCCAAACATAACATAAAGACCACAAAGATACACTAGTCCCCCCTAATCTTTGCCAGCCCCACTACTGCTGATGACAAGTCATTCCATAAGCCAGTCACTGATGCCTAGCCTATATTTTACAGATTTTAAATTTGTGTTCTCTCAATGTTACATATATATATATATACAAAGTTCCATTTATTAACTGTCCAGACTCGTATTATGGTGAAAGTTCAAGATCATTAGCAATATGGATAAAAGGACAAAAAATATAGCAAATCAAATTTAACATTCTGAAAAGATCATCAAACTGACTGACTAACAAAAAAATTATTGAAAGAGCAAACAACAAACATCACTAATTATTCCAGGGAAGACTTGCAGCACATAAATCATGGCTTGAGTGTAGCCATGTGGACAAAATGCCTTGTGCTCACTAAATGAGATCTAGAGGAGAGGAATCGACAACTACTTCTGTTTAAAAAACAACAACAAAGAAGATGGTTGATCTGATTAAACATCAGTTTTTATGTAAATGTATAGTTTTCTATTTTTTGAGTTAATATTAGAAATATTACAGATGTAGTGCTTCAATGACAGAATTTCTTAACTAATAGAGGGAATAGCATGATTAGAATATTCCAAGTCTGAATGGATGGTATTTCCTTCATCCAATCCAGAACAAATTATTGTATGACTTTAGCTTAGTTAATTTGGTTTCATTGTTATTATAAGAAAAAGCTATATTATTATTTTCATTTGAGACAGAAAATTATTGTTCATATCTTGCTGAAACTACCTGTCAGTATTTTTCTCGAAAATTGATGTTTCAATGCTCAAACTGGTTTTCCCGATTAGCCACCTGAGGCAGCACTACATCAATATACTAGAGTAGCATTTCTCAAACTACAGTCTGCAACTCATGTCCAAAATTCCACAGAAATAATTTTAAAAATATGATTTAGAGAATAAAAAAAAAACATTTTAATAAAATTAAATTTACCTAAATTTAAAATTTAATTTTAGAATAAAGCTTTTCAGGTACACAGAATCATTTTTTCAAAACAAAAAACATCAGTAGGTTTGGGGTGCGAGAAAAATTTTTAAATTAAAAGGGATCCTTTTCCTGTTATGAGATTCACAGGTTCGGGAGAATTTCAATTCAAAACTTACATACAGATTATTTTTTTCAGAAAACACAGTATAACAATTAAAATGTGAAAATTCTAACACTTAAAATATTATATACAGTTCTAAAGATAGAGATTATTAAAGAATGACAAGACTTAAGCTTCTAGTGTTTTTGAACATTTGTAAGATATCCAAGTGGTTAGTATACATTCACATACACACACAGATAGATATCAACATGACGATGAAGACATAACCAGGTTTACTCGAGAATCTGTAATGGTTACTGGCATACATAAGCCCCATAAATTTTCCATTATATCTTAGTCACAAACATACTACTTATTGGGGAGTTTTCTCTCCTAAAGTTATTCTTAAGAAAAGATTTCTGTACACGCATTTCTCTTCACACAAAAAACAAAAACCCTAGTTAGTATATTATGCCTCAAACTTGAGAGCTGTATTTTAAATTACTATGTTAGAAGACAGCCCACTAATTTGAGAAAGACTGGCATTTCTATACTTGTCCTTGTTTTTCACAGTAATAACAACAAAACACTGAAAACATTGCTAGTAGAAACTGATTTCAAAACAGCTTATATCAGCCTCTGAATAAAACAACAACACAAGAAAGAAGTGTTTAAATCTACACTGATGACACTAGGAAGTGTCAAAGTTGTGCATATGAATTCTTGGACAAGCAGTGCACATTACAAGTCCTCAGTTAAAACACCCACAGTGTGCACAATGGCATGTCATTAAGCATTGTCTTATTAATCAGAATTTTTACAAGAACTTTTAAACAAGTGGATAAATATCCTACCAGCAGGACTAAAAAACACTGAAATAAAAATGCAAACAACACAATTATGAAACAATATGAGGAAACAAATCCATTTAAAAATAACCCTTGGCTCCCAAAACTTTCATAAAAATAACACAATCTAGATATTAAACATTTAAATACACACTGAGAAGAACATCTCATAATAAATTTGGTCATCAGATGGCACTCTACTTACAGATATAACAAGACTAGGAAGAGATGCATCGGTGAACTATGATATGTTGTAAACACACCCTGGAAAGATTCTGTCAATTTACATAACAGAAATAGGAGGTTTCAAATGTTTTGAGAAGTCAAAGAATGAACTAAAACTTGCTATTAATATCACAATATAATGTTATGTGGAGTATTATATGCAGGACAATTAAAAAGTATATTTCTTTGAGCTATTAAACTTATGATTACATAGTACTGCTAGGCTCACATGTATTGAATTTAAATTAATTATAATATTTGTAAAACAATCGTAGTCAAGCATGTAGAAAAAAGAAAATTACACAAATGTAAGATTCCACTTGCTTTAACTAATACAGTAAAGAACACCTGTTTAGCTGAAGAATGTTGCTGTAAGAGATAAAAGTATTGTTCCCATTTTTAGCAATGTCCTTTAAAGACAAACGTAATAAAATTATGCTTTTAAGAGTTTAAGCACAAAAAAAAAAAAACATCTAAAGTTCCACAGAAACAACACCAAAAGAAACAAAACAAAATCGATTCAGTAAACATTAAACTGTTTATATTTTCACGGTATATTGTGTGAGTTGTGTTTCACTGAAGTCAGTGGAGGAAATGAAGAGTCAACTTTTTTTTTCATTATCTACTGCAGCTACATTATTTTGAAGCATTTTAAGAAAATATTTGCACCAGCAAAAATAGCAATGCACCTGGTTCATTCAGCAGTTAGTTTAGGATTTAACAGTGAACTAAAAGATTCTAGATTCTTTGTAATTTTGCTTAAAAATACAACCCAACCACTGACTGTAAGTAAAGATACTGCTCTGTTGCATGCAAAAAGCATACCTAATAAAACATTATTACATAAAGAAATCTCTCCGTTTTCAATATTTATGTACATTATATAATAAAAACTGATATTTTATATAACTTAAACATCCTGTTTTTTCGCTGCAGTTAGTGTTTAGTCATTAGAACACTAGAGAGACTCAACTACAGCCAGACCAGTACTGGTCACAGGATTACAGCAGAAAGATTCATGATTAAACTGCTGCTTGTTGCTCAACTGAACTCTCTGTTCTGTAAGAGGGGTGGGCTACTCCAAACTTAAGGTTGGGCTGGAAGATAGTAGTTCCATTAAGTTGACTATCACTGTTTAACTCGACATTCTGTTCCGTAAAATTGTTCAAAGGTCGGACAGTTCTAGTAGACTGTGTTTCACTGGCCACTTCTACAACTTGTTTTGTAAGGTAACCAGACAAATCTGGATCAAGCTGTCTCTCACTGTACACATTTTGGACAATAAGATTACCATCAGGGAATGTGATGCTGAGGGATCTTTGGAATTCTTCATTATCATCTTTAGAACAATGAGGTACTTCTTCCACCTCACCAACTGAAAGAACAATAAATACATTTTGTACCATTTTTGACTGTAAGTTAAACCTGTTATACCACTGCCTAGTAATAAGGAATGGGAGATCCAATACATTGCAAATCCTACACACTGTTGCATTTTAGTTGACAAATGACATTATACGTAAGTGCAAAACAGATATAAAATATTTCAAAATCAATAATCACTTTGTGAGGAGAAAAAAACTTGTCTTATGAACAGTGAAAATGTTTTTGGTGGATTATTAAAAAAAAAAGTCAGTGTTTTTTAAATTATGAACGTTTATCACTTGTAATATACACAAAACTTTAAAGTTATTACAATGACTTCCAAACAATTCATGTTCTAGTTGTATTGATTCATCAACATGAACTAACATTTCCTATTTGAGCTGTGGATCATTTCTGCTATAATTAAAGTTTTGGATTGCTTTAATTGTGTAAGGATCTAAGTTCAGTCTTTGAGATTACACTGATTTAATTGCACAAATCTGAGTTAAAAATATTTCTTAATTTAAATACACATCCAAGTAAAAATGTTTTTTGCCTCTTTTACTATTGAGCTCTACATACAAGCCTTTCCTGTTTCACTAAAGATCTCTTCTTTCAAATCACATCTCACCTGTTTCACTAATGATTTCTTCATTCAAATCACATCTCACCTGTTTCACTAATGATTTCTTCATTCAAATTACATCTCACCTGTTTCACTAATGATTTCTTCATTCAAATTACATCTCACCTGTTTCACTAATGATTTCTTCATTCAAATTACATCTCACCTGTTTCACTAATGATTTCTTCATTCAAATCACCTCTCACCTGTTTCACCAATGATCTGTTTATTCAAATCACACCTCACCTGTCTCACTAATGATTTCTTGATTCAAGTCACATCTTCATCTGTCTCACTAATGATTTCTTCATTCAAATTACATCTCAACTGTTTAACTAATGATTTCTTCATTCAAATCACATCTCACCTGTTTCACTAATGATTTCTTCATTCAAATCACATCTCACCTGTTTCACTAATGATTTCTTCATTCAAATCACATCTCAACTGTTTCACTAATGATTTCTTCATTCAAATCACATCTCAACTGTTTCACTAATGATTTCTTCATTCAAATCACATCTCACCTGTTTCACTAATGATCTCTTCATTCAAATCACATCTCGCCTGTCTCACTAATAATTTCTTCATTCAAAGAACATCTCATCTGTCTTACTAATGACCACTTCATTTACATCACATTTCGCCTATTTCACAAATGATCTACTCATTCACATCATATCTCAACTGTCTCACTAATGATTTCTTCATTCAAATCACATATCACCTGTTTCACTAACAATTTCTTCATTTAAATCACATCTCACCTGTTTCAGAAATGATTTCTTCATTCAGATCACATATCACCTGTTTCACTAATGATTTCTTTATTCAAATCACACCTCACCTGTTTAACTAGTGATTTCTTCATTCAAAACACACCTTACCTGTTTCACTAACAATCTTTTCATTTAAATCACATCTCACCTGTTTCACTAATGATTTCTTCATTCAAATCACATTTCACCTGTTTCACTAATGATTTCTTCATTCAAATCACATTTCACCTGTTTCACTAATGACTTCTCAATTGAAATCACATTTCACCTGTTTCACTAATGATTTCTTAATTTAAATCACATTTCACCTGTTTCACTGATGATCTCTGAACCCAAATCACATCTCACCAGTTTCACTACTGATTTCTTCATTCAAATCACATCTCACCTGTTTCATTAATGATTTCTTCATTCAAATTGCACCTCACCTGTTTCACCAATGATCTCTTCATTTAAATCATTCTGCCATAAACAAAGAGTTTTGCCAACCAGTGTTAGTTCACTGTCAAAAGCTGGAAGTGAATCAACTTCATTTTCCATGACAATTCCCAGCATATCATTGGTTGAGTCTCTTTCTGAAATATTCTCAACAGACTCATTATTATTACCAAATGCCTCTGCCTGTGTGGCAGACACTTCTGATGATGAAAGATTATATTCAGAGCAGCTCGTGGAAGATTTTGTGGTTGGTACTGTGCACTGTTGCACTGAAGGTTCGACCCGGCCATCCAAACCTTGAGGTGTTTTTTCTTGATAAGAATTTTGTTGGGAATCAAGCTCTGGTAAAGTAAGAGAAGTCATATGTGTGCTTTTATCTCTTTTGTAGTAGTAGTCATGTGGTAAAAAATATTCATGTCAATCAGAAAGAAACCTTTGCATACAAATATAATACAGAAATGTGATCATGAGCATCTTATAAAACTCACGTTACTTGTAACAGAATTTACTTCTCTAATGAATGCTTTCTAAAATCCATTTTTATTACTTTTTTCACATTAATCAAAAAGTTTATTGTCTTTAAAAACAACGTCCCAAGTCTTGGTGAATTACATAAAGTCATTGAAATCTTTAAAACCATTTTATATCCACAGTTTTTAAAAATGATACCTTTCAACCATAAAAAACATATAGTTAGCTGCTTACACCATACGACCACTTTTAGTAAAATAAGTAACCAAAATGAATCCTTATGATTGTGCAATAACTAAGATATTTAGAGAAAACAGTCTGTAATTGTTTTGTAAAATTTCTTTCAATTTACAAAGAATAATGTTTTTAATAAAATGAGAAAAAAAATTAACTTCCTACAAACAGTGTTTTTATATGAACTTTATCATATTTTAGTACTTTATGATTAGATGCAAGTCTAGCCAATTAAGAGGCTTATTTTGGATCTTCTTTAACCTTTTTGCCACAGGCAGGTCAAAGTGAACATGCTATAAACTTTTAGAGAGTTACATTTAAAATTTAACCAAACCACTATTATCACGGTATACGAATAAACTTAACATAAAAACATAGTTAACAAATCAAGTTTTAATACCAAATAAGTTTTAAGTTCTTAATTTTAAAAGGAAATATTTTAAAAAATAACCTCAACCTCCCCAAGTATGAGAATTGTGACATTTGCTCTCTAGATCTCCTCTCCTCTCTAATATTTATCACCTCTCCAAGAAGTACAGAATTTAACATAACTTACTCATTATAATGTAGTTATTACTCAGGCAAATCATAATTTAAACAGCCTTTAATGTTATTTTTGTATGGAGCCATAAGCTAGCAAATCAAACCCACTTGCCACACCCATCTGTCACGTATTCTTTTTCACAAACTACCAATAGTTCTATCTGATGTTTAATACTATATTATTTATATCCAATAGGAAGCAAAAGTTTAATCTATTGTATAATGTATTATGTTATACATTTTTCTGTATAGAGAATTGTCTATTTTGCTTCCAGTTCAAACTTTATTTCCACAGTAAATACATCGATGAGCTTAGCTGAATTTTTACCAGCTCTTATATCATACTAAGAAAGCCAGAAAAATTATGATAGCTATCGAACATTGTCTGCTTTTTACATGTTATTTTATGTGTTTTTAAATGCATTGTTTAATTAAATAAAAAACTACTTAGTGTAGTCATACCATTAATATAAAAAAGTGGGATTAAGTTTCATTGACAGTCAACAACAAAAAAAAGACCCAGGTTAGTGCTATATTTCTTGTTTTTCATGTGTATTCATTATTATAAAAGTAACTAAAATGTAAAAATTGAAAACTTACTAGGTTAGATAAAGAAAAAATAAAATAAATATTTTTCACTGGGTATGCTCACGAGCAGCTCGCAAATAGCTTGTGTGTTATGTAATTTAATATAGTAATGTGAGCTACATGTTTGCCAAGTGATTTACAACTTGTATCTTGGGATTATTAGTCAGACATGGTTCAAAGGGCAATGAAACAATAAAAGTTATGTAGAAACAGATGTCTGTTGTTTTGAGCTTTAACCCTATGGCCACCAGCAACTATTTTAAAATTCCTTTGTATTATTACATTCAAAATTTAATTAAACCACTTTACTATCAATATATGTCAATGAAATTAACATTATAATGTATGTCATAATTTGAATTTTTATGTTATCTAAGTTATAATTCCTTTGTTTCAAAGGAAACCTTTCAAAAATACTTAAACAGCAGTTTTAGTGTCACGTGATCTGCACACTATGAAAAAACCTCAACTTTAGCAGTGGTTCACTCTTAGCCTCATAAGCTTGCAATGTACATGAGTATGTAGATGTAAAGTACAAGTTTAACTTATTGTTGCCTGGATTGAAAAAGTATATAAACAAGATGGCATCATTCATGTGTGCAAAGAGCATTAGTGAAACAAGTCTCTATGCGGGAGTCATCGTATAATAATAATAAAACCCCATGGGCACCAGTTGATGTACTGGCATAAATAATAAAAGACAAAGAACTGGAAAGGAAAATTAAAAATAAACTATAAGTGAAAAGATAGAGGCATGAAATTATGCATATTAAAAAAAAAGGAGTTTCGAAACACTTCCAAGAAGAACTAAAAGGTATGTAAATATTTCCATTTCACTGTTGTGTACATTGATAATAATAGGTAGAGTTCGTGATATAGTAGAGAAAATAAAATATAAACATTTACCTTAAAAACCTTTGATATGCATTTAGGAGATTATGCAAATGAAATGTGAAAACTGTAAAATAATAAATATTGTTGAAAGTCTGAGTGCAAATAATTACATTCAATTACGAATTATCTATTAGAAATGGTAGAAAAAATAAAATCTAAATATTTTTTCTGAAACTACAAACATTTAGGAATGTTCTTGTCAAATTTTAAACAACTTCAGTCACTAATTTTATTTTTGGAATGAAACATGACAAGAGTGACATTAGATATGGGTAAAATTTGTAGCCAGGTCTAATAGGGTTAAGCAATTTAGGATATACAAATGTAGTTTCCAGTTACAATTTGAAGTAATTCTAGAAAAAAAAAAGTAACTTATAATTATTTCATATTTTTCTATGGTCATTATGAGATTGATCAAATTGATCGATCCTGTATAGAGTTAGGGTAAATAAAATAACAGATAATTTAAAAAGGTTTACTTTAAAACATGTTGGAAACTTATTTAGGAGATTATAGAGATTGTGCAAGTGAAATTTGAAAATTTTCAGATGAAGAAAAGTATTTTTAATCTTAACATAAAAATCGCTTTGCACTCAGAGTAGTCAACACTTTGGCTCCATATATTCACAGGAAAATTTTTAGCAAAAATATTTCATTAAAAATTTAGGTTTTTTTCTACAAAAGACTTGTAATGTTGACTAAAAGCTTGCAAAATTTCATGAAGATACACAAAATATATTAGAAATTATAGTATGGAAACTCTAAAGGTCAATTTTGGGTCACGAACTTGGCTGAATTGATGTAGGCAACAGTGAGAGAGTTAATCTTTTGTCATATAGAATTAATATAATAAAAACCAGGATTTCTTCATATGTACTAAAACTGAAAATAAATTACCAGCAGCCCGTATTAAAACAGACGATCCATGAGATCTTGCCTGATGAATATGCAATCCTCTAAAATTCTTAAACTGTTTGGCACAGATGTCACAGTCCATCCTACTTTTATTGGTTTGCTCCATCACTGGTTCTAATGTTTTCAAAAATATTAAAAGATCTTTACTGGATATCTTAAACAAGTCAGAAAAGAAGAATACACCAGATGAATTAAAAATATGTACATATAAATTATTAAATTAATTCTACTGTTGCAAATTCAAGCAGAAAAAAAAATCAAAGCTAGTTTGGACAGAAGCATCTAGAACTCTGAAAAAACCCAGAATACTCTACAAGTGTTCTCTGTTCATAAACATCAATAACAAAAGTTGAGATTTGTTTTACAAAATGATCCCTCTTTTTTAAAACATTGGCAAAGTTATTTTAACAAAAATATAAGAATTTAAATAAACTAAAAATGAGATAGAAGAAAATCTGGATAAAAATTTTAAGCATTCTTAATTAAAATGAATAAATACTTAACATAAAATTTTACAAGAAACTGTTTTTGAAATGTTTAGAGCAACATTCAGTTTGAAGTTATGTAGTGCTTTGACAGCTTTGTGCTAAATGAGAATAACAATTACCTACTGTTAACATGACACATGGAGAATAAGTTCTGGTAGTAATCAAGTTACTTATGAAATAATCTAGTTAAAACGTCAACATTAAAAATCTACGGAACATCGGAACTTTAGAGATTCAATCAAAATCAAAGAAACTAGTAACTCCTGTACCTTTGCTACCATCCCTGTGTAATTCACTAGGTTCATTAATCACAGACTCTTGCATGATACTTCTATTGTTGGTTTCAGGAAAGTTTTTCTTTTTACAAAATAACATGTGCATTTTTGCAGTACGTCCTGAACTAAAACCTCCCTTTCCACAAAAAATACAGCGTCTCACTTTCTTTGTTTTAGATATTTTTGAATTCTGACCTGAAAAAAAATTATTATTAGTCCTACAATTAAAAAGTTACATTTAGAATACTCTGAACACTCAAGTGTATTCTAAAAAAACTGGACACTTGAATATAAACACAACCTCTTGACCAAAGCTTGATTTTCCTTAGTTTAGTGTCGTGAGAACTTACACTAGTTTAAAAATACACATGTTGAAAGGAAACTCTGATTGTAAAATGTGAATAATGTTTTTTTTATTAACCACAAGTAACCTGTTTTAATATAAGTACATGAAGAATAGGTCATTATATTGTTAGTTATAAACCATTACCTCAGTTATATGTGCCAAATTCAAGAATAGACTGGATCTCACAAGTCTGTATTATAAACACACATTTAATGATATTTAACTCTCATTCATATCGTAATCTACTATGAATAAATTATTACTTTCTTCTTTCGATTTAATCTTCTGAAACATGTTCACAATAAAACAATCACAGTTTGGACAGTTATATTCACTGTAATGATGTTTATTTTTTCAAACTTTTATGAATTTTTCTGATTGGCTAAAACTTGATATAAATCATGCTAGTAACTATTTCATTTCCTTTTCAAATGCACTTCTCTTTAATTTTCTGCAGGCTCCTACATTAATCACTTAAGACAAAATGAACATCACATGGTGAAGACAAAAAAAAATGGAAATTCAAACTTTGGTAAAACTAGATAAACCTCTGTTCAAGCAACAATAAAAAGCTCCAATGTTTTCCAACAAGTTAGAAATAATACAGTAAGAAATTTCAAGGCATTTAAAATATGATTAGTGATAAGTTATATCCAATAAACAATAAACTATTTAAACAGCTGTGTTACCTAAAAAAAAGGGGGAAAAAGAACTTCTGCTTATAAGTTTTCTGAAAAGATAATATCACAATCACAAAGTGATTTAAAGAAGAAGGACACATATACTGGAAAACTACCTAGCAAATGCTGAGATAGGCTTATGGTCCGATGTACTCTTAACTTGTGTGTGAGAACGCCTCTAAAGTTCTGGAAGCTCTTAGAACAGATGTCACAGGTTTTGAATGGACTGTTTTGTTCAGTTTCTGCACTTCTAGCTATTTCAAAGAAGATTAAAAAGTGATACAATTTCAAAAAAAATAATAAAACTAAGCTGATCACACCATATGTTCATTTGGCTACTTACAGAGTTTTTGCTTTATGACAATAAGGATAAGAACAAACATTCACAAAACAAAGACTTACAAATAAACTTGTTTTTACTTATTACTTTCAGCTTTTAGTGTTACATTGCATTTTTAATTTGTACCAGTCTCATTTCCATTTACTATTAAGATTTCACCTAAAGTCAGGGAGAAAAAAAAAGAGATAGAAATACATCTATTGTGTATCACGATAATCTGTGACTCACTGTAAAAATTAATTTCTGTGATAAATAAATCTTTTTAGATTATTTTTAATTATTCAGTATCTTAATGTTACATTCTAAAAATTCTTTCAATTATTCCTTAGTTCACACCACTTAAATAAACAAGTACAAGCAGAGGTGTTGCTAGGCGCTGGCACACACGACCAACAGCCCAATTCTATTTGACAGTGCCCCAAATCCGCAGTTGGTGTCTTGAAAAATCAAAATATCATACTGAAACACTGAAAATCCCCACGCCTATGGGTCTGAGCCCCAAATCTTTTAAGTATCTAGCAATGCCTCTGAGTACAAGCATCCCAAACTCTTTTTATGCCACACAAATTCAAATATAACACAGGAAAACTTTATAAACTTTCATAAAAGAGAAAACAAATCAAACCATCATGTCTGAAGTTATAATTTTCCTATACTTAAAATGTGTTTCTGATAGGTACTTCTTTCTTCTCACAAGATTAGCTTTTCATGTTTTGTGCTGCCCTCTATATGTGATCTTTTTTATAATGCATGCCACAAACCTTCTGCACCTCCCCAACTGGAATCAAAGATTTCAATGTATTTCTCATGCAAATGATCATACGTCACCTCTCCACCAATAGAAGAGCAGTACAATCATGTGACGCATGTGACTTCTTCTATACACCTCTACCAAACTATCACTTCAAAGTTTGGCAGACAATGGAAGCACCAGAAGATTGTGGGGAGGAAGGGTGGGAGTGTGAGCAGAGGGAAGTACCTATAAGAAATACAATTTCAGTATAGGAAAATTATAACTTCTGATATGGTACTTCCCTCTGCTCACAAGATTATCTGGAATCCCACACTGATAAGGAGGAGGGAGTGGTGCGAGGGAAGAACAGACATACCCCCCAAAAGAGTTCGAAGGATACTTCTGTAGATGAGTGTGTTAGATTTGGAGAATTGAAGAGGGGAACTGCAGCACTTCTGATCCAGGTATACTTGTCACTAAGTATGAAATTGGAAGAACATGGCAGAAAAAGAAGGGAGTGCATCTGAGTGTGAGAAAATATGGCAGGGAGTGATCCTACCAGGAAGAGAAATGATCTCCATCCCACAGGAAGAAGGTGGGTAAACGAGGATGAGTCCCATGGTGTAGAGTGGCTATGGCATGGCAGACCATACTCAGTAAGTCAACTACATCAAAAACCTCCTCACTGGGTACCAACATCCACGTGACAGTAGGATAAGGATCATACCATCTTCACCTCAAACCCCAGAATCATGGATGATAATAACACATCGAATCCAGGGCATGACACAGGATTAGCACTGAGCTAGGAAGCTGGAAATAGGACATCCAGCATCCTAGGGAAGTCCATCACATGCAAACAACTCCCGTGAGCATGAAACTAGTCTGGAACATCCAAAGGGCAATAACATCCATCTCACATGAGAGAACAAGGGAGAGCCCAGGACATCAACGGAGACATCCCACATATCCTTACTGTGACCTAAAACACAGAAGGGATAATTGAGGGAGAAAGATAAACAACCCAAAACCTGTGTGAGGACTTATGTTGATTGGTTCACTCCAAAATCCAAAACCAGCCTGTGAGGTATTGACATCCATGCAATGGTAGAATAAGGGCTCCCAATTGAAGGGGTGAACTACATTTTACGTCTCACTCCATGGTATATTAAACTCAATCCGGAGGATTATATGCTATCTACACCAGCAGAACACCACCCTACTCTGAACTAAATGGTTATAGTCATCTTTGTGGAACACATTCAGCAGGATGCCTCCATGGTCAACCACCCCAGTGACTTGGAACTGGTATGTGGTAAGGACTCATACTCCAGTTGAAGACAATGGGGGCAGATAGTGTGATGGAGAGCTCACTGGAACATTGACACCTGAGACAGTGCAATGGGTGATCACAAAACCCTATTTAGAAAAGCAGACCATCCCGAATTATTCAATTGAGACATGGCAGGGATGGGCAGCTATCCCCTTCTGCTTTACCCATGCTGTCCATGGGTGGTACGGTCCAGGACAGGCATATTTATGAAGCAAATATTGCGAGATTATTCACCTACAAGCGATCTTGTGAAACACCCATCTCGAAGGTGAGCATGCTGAGCCATGGAAAGAGTGCATAATTCTACAAGGCATACAGTGTGGATTTAGAGTTAAATAATATCTGGTCAGGCACCACTCGCCATAGAGTGGGATCCATAAGAAGAGAAACAGAGCAAGGGCCCCTGAAAGGAAAGAAAACTTTTAATATACTTATCCAGTCAAAGTCACACAAAAGTGTGAAAAACGACTGCAGGTGGGGGATGAAAACCCGACAACGAAGAAACCATGATAGAAGAAGATCTGAGGTGTAGTCCACTTGACCCACTGAAGAATGTCCTCAAAGGAACGATGAAGATGAGAAGCCAGAGAAAGGTGTCAAATGTGGGTAGAAGACACTTGGAACAAGGTCTGAGAGGACACATAAGTGGAGAATAAGCCAATCGAGACAAAGGCCAAATGTGGGGCAACAGTAGAAGAAGGTGTTTCACCCATATAACAACTGATCACCCAGCGAACGATTGCAGGCAAATCCATCGATGCCCCCACCCCACCCAATGGCAAAAAGTGCTTATGGTCATAAGGAAACCATGGAATTTGTCGTAATTGGTGGTGAGATAAATACATCGTGCAAAAAACTAAAGATTGGAAATTAATTGAAAACAAATTTGTCAGCTGTATAAGAAAAAAGAATAGAAAATCACTGTGGCTGTAAAACTGTTAAAGTTAAGCCACTGTGGCAATAAACTGTTAAATTTCAACGACAAAGAACACAAGAGCAAAATTCAAAATGTCTGAACACGAGTACTGCCAAACAAGAAGTGATAGTTCGGTAGAGGTGCACAGAGGGAGTCACATGCATCACGTGATTGTACTGCTCTCCTATTGGTGGAGAGGCGATGCACAATTAGTTGCATGAGAGACACATTTGAATCTCTGATTCCAATAGGGGTGTGTAGAAGGCTTGTAGAATGCGTTATAAAAAAGTTTGCATATAGAGGGCAGCATAAAACAGGAAAAGTGGAGGAAAGTACTGTATATGAAATAATATACAAAATATCCTACCTGCTTCATCCATTATCCTTTTATCTGAATCCTTCTGCCACTCACTTAAGCCTTCCTCTCCTCCTGGGGCTTCTTCAAACATGGAAACTGAATCAACTTCAACTTTTATACTGACATCCTCCACATTACTGGTTATTCCTCTCTCAGTTAACTGTCCAGAAGTTTCATTCAGAGATTGGTGATTATTGGACACCCAGTCATCAGGAAGCTGATTGATGGAAGAATCCAGACAGGAAACGACTGACTGATCCATAGAAGCTTGAGCAGGAACCCTCTGAAATGTTAATTGTTGCAAAATTCTCTCCCCTTGATTAGAAACCATCTTTCCAGCATCAGATACCCTGCTAAAAGTTGTGCTACATCTCTGCTTGTCCTGAAGCCTATTAAGGTCTTGTGTCACAGCAAAGCTTGGTTCCAAGCTTGAAACTTCAGAAATAGAGTTGCCAGCTGACTTTGAATTCTTCACTAACTTTTGCAATTTGTTAGCTATCATGTTGCACTTTTTCATTTTTTTATATTGTTCATTCTTTCCTTTAAATCATAATAAAAACATTAAGAGGATCCAACTTCTAATAACAATTTTAATCTATCATTTTGTTACATTAAAACCCAGAGAGTTAAATGTAATAAACATTACTCAAAAACTACCTATAACAATTACCTCATAAACTATGTGTTCATACAAGTGAATTAAAATACACATTGTTATGGCAATGTTCTGGGATATAAACAGTTAGCAAAAGAGAAATATATACAAGAAAAATATTGAATTTTTCACTACAAGAGTTCTGTTAATTTACAGGCCAGATAAAATGCTTAATACATTAGAACTACTATTATTTTAATTTACTTATTCTTCTTGTGATTACCTAAAAGAAGAACATAAAGTGTTACTAACATTCAAGTCACATTAAATTTTTAACAACAGCATAACATTCCAGGACAGCAAGGGATATTTTGGTCCATAAATTGTCATTTTCACCACATTAAACAAACAAGATAAAATCTCAAAGGCAGCTCTTATCTTTCAAATATTTATCAAGCTTTCCCTTACGTTCAACTAAGTTAACTGCATCCATCACATCTGAAGGCAACCTATTCCAAAGGCTACTCATTTGGTTAAAAAAATAAAGCTGCCTTAGCTGAAGATGACTTCTTCCCTGCTAAAATATATCTTAGTGTCCCTTAGTCTTACCATTCTCATCATTAAATATGAAACAAGACGCATTAGCACTATCAATTCCCTTAACAATCTTCAACACCTCACATAAAGAACATACTGTAAATTAAAATTTTCTGCAACAATTATTGCAACACTGTTCCTTTCTTAATAATAAAAAACATGCATTAACAGCCTGAATGCATTAACAAACTAGGGCTGACACTGCAACCATGAGATCTCCCTACATGCTAGAGGCAGACTGCGAAAGTAAGGCCTCCGAAGTTGTAGGATTACTGCTATTTATACAATAATTTCTATAAGTGTTAACATTGATTTCAGAATTCATAGAGAGTTACGTTAGCAGCATGACTGTCAAGAATAAAATCTAGATTACAGCAGGAAAGCAGATGCTATAAGTGGAAGGTGAGAGAATGGAGCAGTGTGGGAGACAAAATATAGATCTAAAAATGCTATTTTCTAAATCTGCAATTCAAAATCCACAGTGGAATAATTATGATAAATCCAAGTGTGGTTTTAATGTTATTCATCT